TGACCAGGAGTATTGACGTGAACAGAGGAGAGGAAGGGAAGTTAGGAAAGGGGAAAGCTGCTTCATTGTTAGTTTAGGAAAATATTTTCCTGGACTGGAGAGACACTAATGCCTGGAGCTGGGATGAAAACAAGGCTTCGCTGGGGTTGTACTCAGTAACTGAGATGTTGACACTTGGAGGATAGTAACGTCTCAGAATATTGTGTCACTTTGAAGGGAACACCTATTCATAGCACATGTATTTGTTATTTTTCTTAGAAAACTGCTTCAGGAATATACAAATACATGACTGGTGGTCCTACAGTATTAACTTTTCCTGCAAAATTTTTTGTTATGACACATTTGAAAGAGGTTTTAAACTCTTAAGTATTTAAATGTGCATTATAAGATATAACAACAAAATTTTTAGTTACTTAAAAAAGATTCATGCCAAAATTCCACTTAGGAGAGATAGGTGGTTTTAAATTTGTGATTATACGAGCATAGAAATTTCTATTTTTTATTATATATCTGTAGAACTTGTGTATGTATTTGTATAAAATGTATACACAAATATCCTATAAGTGGGTTATTAGAGAGCCAGTGTACAGTATCCTAATAATAATGTTACAAGGTATTTTACATGTGAAAGTAACAGAAGATAATTCTTTTTTACTCATTTAAACTAATATATGGCTAATGCCCCCTGCTCTGAATGACCCCATATTCAGATGTTCTTTAGAAAAAGGCTTTGAGTAAAGGTTGATAAAATACCTCTCATTTAGACCATTGGAATAAAATACATCAAATCATTGTCCAGTTGTGTATACCTGTCAAATGAAATGTGTTTGTTTGTAAAGCAACAAACAAAAAGCCTCTCTTAGTATGTACCATTTTCCACTTTAGTGTGTGGAAGAGGGGGACCCTGTGATAAAAATCTGTCACATGGTATAGGCTGTGCAGTCTTGGTAGCCCAGAAGGGAAGGTGCCCGTAGCATTACATTTCATTGCTGGTTCTCAGGAGATGGCTGCAGTCAGTCATCTTGCATATGGCTTGAAAAAGACTTGTCTCACTGGCAAGCAAACTGTTATTTAAGTACACAATCCACTCTACTACTGAAACAGTTTTGCCAAACTTATCCAAGTATTCTCACATGCTTAAAGATGGTATAAATATCATTTATTGCTAGCAGTTTTCTTCAGACTATATGGAATGTCTTCCTGCTGCCTGATCTAAGTGTCCCAGTTTACATTATGGTCTTTACTGCCTCTGTTTGATGGAGTGATCAGTAAAAATTTAATGACACTATAAAATAATAAAAATGTCATTAATTTACCACGGATCTTGGATGCAGTGGTTGTAAAGTTACATTAATAAACAGAATATTTTTTACAACAAAAAGCATTGTTACGTGGGAACATATAAATAACACACATAAATTTAAGAGCAATTTTACTGTTAGCACACACATTATTATGGAATAGCCAATAAGTGTATAAAACATAGTATATAAAATTTTATTAAAATATACTGTGCACATCAAAAATTCAGCTTTTATCTAAGTGCAAAGAAAAGCCATTATTGTGTGCTTACTGTTTCATTGCTTTCCCCACATCACAATTTTACATTTGTTGCCAGTAAGAGGAAGTTGATTTTTTTTTTCCACCTAGATGAAAACAAACCTCTGTTCCTTTAGTTACCCCAAATCCATTCTCTCTCTCCACTGATGCAAAGACAAAAATCAATCCATCTTGCCATGGTAGGGAGGGAAAAGTTGCTAATTCAATGCAAAGTTAAAAATAATGCCAGAGGAGTTGAATGGCTTGTTCAGTGACTCTAGCAATAGGGATAATAGTGCAGCAGTCTATCTGTCACCAGTGAAGCCGCCCCATCATTGACTCTGATAATGTGTGAAGATGATGGAAGCCACCGACTTGTGGCTTGTAACATTTAACATTCATTAGCTCTCACTAAAGGGGGCTTTATCATTTAAATATCTTTATTTAATATGCAACATCTACCTCATACATCATCATTTCAAAGCACTTAGAGAGCCAACAGTGCTACAACACAGCAGAGTTGACTTTAATTGTGTTCAATAACTTTTATGTTGCCTGCATGTTTGTGACTGACAATTGCACGAGTTAAAGCATCTGATCACATCACTGCTTGTAAAATAAACATTTCACCATTGACATGTAGATGGGGAAATTTTCTTGAAGGGGGTGTTGACATCAAGTTATGGTTTGGATATTTTGTCCCAGTATAGCTTACGTGGGAGCTATGTATTGAGAGAGCTAGCTCAAGTATGTGGAAAAACTCTGAGTAAAGACCTTGCCTCCACCCACAATCTGTATTTGTTACATATAGGGCGATACCCACTGACACACAATGGCCAGAAGTTGAAGCCTTTTGGAACGAAAGTGGCTTTGAACTTCTCTCTGTGCCCATGTCCACAGCCTGTGTTTATGCGGCCCGTGTTCAATCTCACTGGTAAAATCTTTGCTTAGCTCAGCTGCCCAGATCTATCTTGGAGACATCAGGCCCTCTTATCTTATGTGGCTGGCAAATAAATATTCGGCGCTATTCTTTGAAGAAAAGAAGGAAATCTTCTGGGAGGCTAGGTAGAAAATTCACATGAAAAGGCATGGTTTTGCAGGGTCCATCTTGAATCACAAACACAAGTACTTCAGTGTAGCCCACTACCCAAGACAATTTTTACCCTTGCATTTATTTCTGCCTACTTAGCAAGTGCTTCGTGGGGTAGTCTTCCTTGACTTCTACTCTGTCAAAATATTGATATTTTATAAGGAAAGTATCTCTGCAGAAGGGTTTTCTTTTTTCAATGAAGTCAAAAAAATGTATGACTTCAAAGACACTGTGAATGTGTTGTTGAATGTTCTAAATGTTTTTTGTTATGATTAAAAACAAGCTGATACTACTGAATTGTGAGTGCACTTCATTTTTTATAAAAGAAAAGATATTATCATCATGTAAGCTTTGTTGTCTTAGGATTTTACAAACCATGGCATGTAATTTTCCCTCTTCTCCTTCCTTGTCAAAATATTGATATTCTTTCAGGAACTTTTTTTTTTAACTGAGAATATTTTCTGCTAAAATCAAAGCGAATGAATGACTAGAAAGATACTTGAAATATGCATATTGATAGGTAACACGGTCTGTTGATTTTCAGAGAAAGTTGTTTTCCCCCCCATGAAAATACAGTTAAAGGTTGTTCTTCCAAGAAGATTGCAGGTGTCACATCAAAACTCCTTTTGCATTTAACATAGGGAATGCATTCACATGCAAATATTTGAAAGGCGAAACAATGTGATAAAACAAAGGTTGAATATTTTGCTTTCCCTGGTACTACTCATCTTCACTTTAATTCCTTTTCTTTACATCATGACAACCAAAAGTGCTACTCAAAAATAGAAATTGTCTGATTAAAAGCAGCTGTTCCTCCCCCAACCCCGCCCCACGTGTGAAACTCCCACATGGCTTGTGGTTGCTTTTCTGTTGTGGCCTGCGTCTGGGTTAATTTGTTCTCGTGCAGCAGTGTTTTCACATAAGACGATATTGGGGAACCATACCTAATTTGCTTTTTATTTCCATTCGGTTTTTTTATAAGTGTCATATTTCAGAGGTTTCCTCACATACCATTATGGTAACTATTTAGTATTACCCAGTTGGGGGAATTCATGATTATGATTTCATTGCAAATCTTTCATAGAATGGTGCTAGATTAAAGCAAGGTTTGTGCTGTGTTTTCTTCAACACGATTTCAACATATTCCACAATGAAGGGAACTAGAAGACTTCCTGCACAATTTGACTGATGGGAATTAATTATAGAAATATAATGATATTCAAAAATAATCATATTAGAAAGCACAAATGTAGTGAGACTGTACAAATGAGACACAGCCTCTATCAAGTAATTGTATGTTTGCTCTTTAAGAATATTTCCAAGTTTCTAAACATCTAACAGAGGAGAACACTGAGAGTATTTCCATCTAATGCCGAACATGCTCAGTACAGAACTAGGTCATTGAACAATAGACTGAACAGCAATCAGCACTCTGCTGCTGCATAATGCATTAAGTATAACATGCAGAAACCATTCCCGATGCTGGAAGCTGCTATTTCATGTCTGTAAATTCAAGCTGACATGACATTTAATATTGTTTCATAGTAATGAACAACAAGGTTTCATTCATTCACAGGCACAAAACAAACCCAAGTTTGAGTCTGGAGAGTAGCAAGGAGGCAAGAAGGGGACATGTTCTGTGTTTCTGCAGACAAGAACACAGTATTAGTGATGGTCAGTGCACCTTTTGCTGCTGAATCCAGCATTGCAGAAGGCGAGTTCATTGGGATGATGCAGGCTCCCGCTCCTGGAAGAACTGGTGAATAAATCAAATATCTTTGGGTTTCCCTCCTATATCAGCAAGGGCACTTAACTTTCCTGATTCAGTGTCTGCCTAGGGGTAATTTTTACCTTTTACTTCCCAGGAGGTTACAGTGGAAATTTTAGGCCAAACAATAATATCAGTGTCATCCTATAGCCTGCCTGCTTTGAAATATTTGTTTTTGAAACCCTCTTGCATACAATTTTGACTTTTCCCAGGAATACCAATGCAAACTGTGATCTCTAAATGGGAATCTCTTCTCCCATTGAATTTGGCAATATATTTTAATGGAAACCCCCTTTCAAGGTTTGCACATTTGGTTTAACCTCTCAACTGTATGTGTTTTACATTATTGGATCAACAGACAGAAGCCCTGGCAGGTTTGGCTCACAGGATTCTTTACCTTACAGGTACTGTGGTTATAGTACTGTCAGCCCTGTCATTGCCTACAATGGGGCTTCTGAAGAATCTTTCTTCAAGATTTTCTGATCCCAAGTTGGTCACAAATGATGTTTGAATCAAAGTTGTGCCCATTATGCAACACAGAAATTGAGGAAGAAATGGCTGCTTGGGAAGCTAGAATAAGCCTCTGTCTATTCTTTCCTCTAGGAAAGAACACGCTTTGAGAATTTGGGGCCCCAGTTAACAGGAAAGTCAAGTGAAGATGGAAAGCTGGGCCCAGGTGTCATCGACCTTACTCGACCAGAAGATGCAGAGGGTAAGTGGCTTTTCTGTGGCTCTTTTTGCTGTCTCACAGTGTGTTTTGAAGGTGTGTCTGAGTTTGACATAGAATCTTCATGGTCTTTCTTGAGAACCACTAGGTTGAGTTTCTTGGCAAAGCACAGGAAATGTTTGTCTTCAGTATAAACTATAGTTGAGGACTTTGAGAAGCAGCTAAATCCTATATTACTGAATATATAACAGTATAACTACTTCAGGCCCCATTTCAAAGTTAAAAAAAAATCCCTCTGCATAACGGCATAATTCTGTTTCGTACACCTCACTGCATTCTTGTTCAAGAAGGACAAACATACAAAAGGGGATATTTTTAAAACTTGAAGCCAAGTGATTCTTAGGTGTGATCCAACCATTTTGGAGGTTAAATTATGGTTTGCAACAGATTTAGCATAAAATTAATGATTTCTTGGGCAAGGCTCAGGCTGTGTCTGGACACTGTCCATCACTGATGTCTTTTAAAAGACCAGCTTCACTCTCTGTGTGTTTACGCATAGCACTATCAATGCCTGTCTGCTCCTCTTCCCTTTTTGTTTGTTTGTTTTAAATGCACAAGCAGCAAATCAGCAGAAATTGCTCCCCAGAGGCTGGGACAATTTATGAGTTAGGTCAGCACTTCAGTAGTAATGTTGCCTGGTTATTTACTGTGTCATCACAGAGTAGGGACTGGTTTTCCCGTTAGCTGTTCCTTTGACAGAATCCCTCCCACCAGTCAGGGAAGATTAATTTGTTCTCTTCAGAGTAACACAATACTTCACCCATCTTGGGTCCCAGCTAAGGTCCTTCTTGTGCTTGAAGGGAAAATCTTACTGTTATCCCTTTCACTGGCAGATTTTCTTCCAGAGCTCTAAATCCTTGAAAACACATGAAGACAGTTAATAGCAGCCTCTGAACTGTGCCTGGGTTCTAAAGATTGCTCAGGCAGTTCAGAAAAACCTGGCATGAGCACTAAGAGATGGTAATATCAGCCACTAGAAGCACTTAAGAGCATCCAAAAGGCAGATTTTTTCATACTGGTGTGAGAAACAAATGTTTTATGTTTATGCTGAGGATAAGGTATTAAAATATATTCTTACCGGGACAGGAGCAAGGGGAAGGAAAGGAGGAGAATGGAAGGAAAGAGAAAGTACTAAAGGAAGACAGAGAAAGAATCAAGGAAGGATAAAGAAGAGTCACAGCCAGAAATATGCTCTATGTACATAAAGAATGTGTACAGAGGACATAATGACAGTGACATTTTTATAGACCCTTAGCAGTACTAGTTTTTCCACTGGTGAGGATGGAGGTAAGTTGGCTTAGAGAGCTGGTCATTCAGGCCTGATCCATCTCAATTTTGTTGGAAGACTGTACTGTAGAATATCTAAATCTTTGACCTTGTACCATGAAATGCCAGGTCTCATCAGTGTGGAGGGTTCAGACGCTTCATTTTCCCCACAGACTACAGTTCTGCCATCTTAATTTTGTACTTGTCAACTTTTCTTAATCTGTTTTTCATCCTTCATTTGGTTTCTTAACTGTATTGTGGCTATAAAATAGTCACTTACCTCTCAGAAATGCTAATAATGTAGTTAATGTTATAATGTGCTTGGTAAGTTAAAAGTTATAGTCGTAGTTATTAACCATTACAAAAAGAAAATATAAAAAAGCTTAACTGTTGAAGCACATATTGTATAGAAATAGCTTTAGAAGTTCCATTTAGTATGCAGAATATCTGGAGTCAAACTATTTCCTGGTTACTTTGTTTCATGGACAAGCATATGTCTAGCAAGTCTATGCCGAGGATATACTAAGTTTTTTACAGCCATTTTTTTTTCTTTTCAACAACTTAAACAGCTTTGTAAAGAAAGTATTTTTTCCCTATTTTACAGATAATAAAGTTAAGGCTGAGAATCATTAAGTAGCTTGTGACAGCTTACATAGCTTGTAAGAGTGAAGCTGAGAGTTGATCCCAGGCAGCCTGATTCCAGAACCCAAGTTCTTAAGTACTGTGCTGTAGCCCCTGTGTACATGGTTGTATCTGTGGTGCCTTCATTTTTCTGAACAAATTTCTGTGACCTTTTTCAATATGGCCCATTTCCTCTCCCCTAAATATAGCAAGTCATACCATCCACCAGCTCTCGTGTTACTCTGTCACACATAGCAGCAATGCCTGATGAGTGTAATAGTAGAAGGGTTATAGTGGCCCAGGAGCTTAAGGAGCGTGTGAAAATCTCCCTTCAGAAGCTTGCCCAGAGTTGCCATTGAGACCTCATGTGCTTTTGGGGGACTGTGAGTTCATGAATGGAGTCAAGTTACCTGCTCTAAAACCGGCAGAAGCGCAGCGCCTTTGTGAGCACTGCTGGGGTGGGTAGCAGCCTTCTGCTGACTTCAGGCTATTTTCTGGCATCTGTTCAAGTGTGAGCTGATTGCAAAGCCTGCTGGAGTTACAGTTCATATTAGTCAGAATAGATAATAGGTATACATAATGCTTTCTCTCCTTGGTTCTTTTATATTTCCCTCAGTGGTAAGATGAAAAAAGTGCTGATATAAAAGATATTTCAAAATTGTACTCACTCCTTCAGTGAAGAACTTTATTGTGAAGATGTCATAATCGGTGTGTGGGCTAAACAAACAAAATAGCAAATGTTTCTTGAGTGCCTACTGTGTGTCAGTCCCTGAATTAGACACTGGATAAACTAAAGGCAGCAAAATAAAGTAAGGTCCTGACCTAGTAAAGGAAGACAGTTTGTAAAGGGAATGCAAACATACCTACAAAAAAAAAGACATAGTTATCACTGAGAAAAGTGCTAAAAAGTTGAAGACTTCCTGTGTCCCACAGACAATGCAAAGTGAAAGCTATTTGGGTCAGTTAAATAGAGAAATGAGTTCTATGGGTCTAGCCTAAGATGTCATCTCTTTTCATTCAACACAGTCACTTCCATGTCCTCTCTGTCTTTAGAACAATAATAAGGAGATATAATTCACATATAACATTGTATAAAATTAAGATGTACAATGGAATAATTTGATACATGTATTTATTATGAAATGGTTACTGCAATAAGATTGGTTAACACATCTATCACCTCATATAATTACACACATACACACCACTTTATTTTTGGTGAGAAAATTAAATTAAACTCTAGCAACTTTAAATATATGATACAGCATCATTAGCTACCATCACCATGATGTCCTTTGGGTCCCCAGAATTTATTCATCCTAAGCTAGAAATTTACACACTTTTTTTTTAAAATGTAAATCTGTGTATTTTCTAGGAAGAAATTTTGTCAGAAATATTTGAAACATTACAGCCTGTTAATATCTACCAGAAAAAAAGAAACCCCAACAAAGACATCTTACATGTTTACAGCAGCAGTACCTATAGCTTGCAAGTTGTCTACATATTTAATAAATTACAGTATTAATTTAATAAAAATAAGATAAAATATTACCACCTTTATATCATTAATTTCATTAATTATTATGTGTAGAGACAAATTTCCAGGGGTAAAAATTCCAAAGTGACAATATAACAAAGTATAAACCAAAATCACATGCAACTATGAACTAGAGGGGAGGAGAAGGAAACTGGATCAAAACAGGGTGGGAAGAGCACAAGAGATTATGGTGATGGGACAGGGGTGAATTGTTGGTGGGAGTTTCTTGGGGATCAGACATGAGATGATAATACCTACATTGTATGAAAATGAAGAATGATGTAAAAATATATACAATTCAAAAATAAATAAATAAAATAAAGATTCAGACCTCTATCCCCACCCCCAAATTGCACTCTTTAACCAGCTTTTGACACTCACACTCCCTGTCCCTGGTAGCCACCATTCAGCTCTCTGTCTCTATGAGTTCTGCTTTTTTAGATTCCATGTTTAATGAAGACCGCATAGTATCTGTCTTCCCTGACTTATTTTACATAGCACAGTGCCTTTGAGGTCTACCCCTATGGTTGCAAATGGCGGAATTTCTTATAGGCCCAAATAATATTTCCATTGGATCAATCATTTCTTTATCTATTCACCCACTGGTGTTGAACACTCAGGTCATTTCCATGTCGTGGCTATTGTGCATAATGCATAACAGTGGTTTTAAGGGGCTTTGCCCTCCCTCCACTTCCACTCTGTCCTTCTGTGGCTTCTGAAATGACTTTAGAAAAGACTCAGCCTCGGCCCTCCCTGGTGGCGCAGCGGGTTGAAGCGCAGCGCTGAGGGTCTGGGGCCGCTTCCGCATGAGTTCGATTCCCGCCTGCCGCCTGCCCCGGAGGAGACCACATGGCGAGCCAGATCTCTCCTGGCCCGCCCGCTGCTTCCCTCAGCAGTGTACTTCGTCGATCTGCCTGTTCTGCTCCCCACTCTGTCTCTGGTGAAGCCTCTCACCGCCCCAGAGCCTCTGGCCTGTACCCCAGTTCTGTATGAATAAATAAATAAATCTTTAAAAAAAAAAAAAAAAGAAAAGACTCAGCCTGGGAGACTGGGAGATAAGGCCAGGCGACCCAGGAAAATGTCTGCCAGTCATGAAAATGCCAATATCCCTTAGTAAGCAACTTATAGACCTGCTTCATAGCTCTGAGCCTGGAGGCAGCAAGGGAAAGGTCACCAAAAGAGGCAGCTGTGCATGTATATTAACCACTCATCAAAATCAAATGACAAAACCATAATCCAGGAAAACAGAAATTAAAAATATAAAAGGCAAATGCCTTCAAAATTTTATTTTTAAAGTCCAGCTGTTATTTGGCTTGAATGTGACAAGACAGCATTTCTTGTTCACCATGATATTTATAAAACTACAAATTCATTGGTGCTGGGGGCTTAGGAAACATGTTTAAGGTCTCCTTGCACTTTGAAACAGTTGAAGGCTTAATATGTATTGAGTACACAGAATTTGTTAACTCCTGTGTGGGACATGAAAGGAAGAGAGGACTCAATTAGTTGAGTCTGTCACCATGTATTAAGAACGACAAACAACTTAGTTCTCTATGGACAT